GGTTATTGTAATGGCAATTAACAGCTAAAGTTTACTCATCATTGGTGTAGAAAATGAAAAAGGTGGGGAAAGCTAGTAGCTAAGGTATGTTTCTTTTTGTGGTGTGGGATGGATAGGCATATATAAGCTGGTGTTTATGTTTCACCAATTCACAATAAAATTCATTGGTAATGGACAGAAAATTTTGATGTCTTTGCCGGACAATTATTGGAAGCTGGGGACCATAGCATCACATTGGTTTCCTTGGAAAGTAGGGAGGAGCATATGACCTTTTGTCAAGTCATTATCTGCACTCAGCCAGTCTTCATTTAATCTTTATCTTATGTGACCTACCTTTTTGTTCATTCTCCATAAAAATAAAATTTCACCATAGTGGTAATGAGTGGTGGATAAGTGTTACTCCGTCCTTCATTTTTAGTAGTATTATTTTAATTTGTAAACTTTTTAACACAAAATTTAAATAAAAATTTAATAATTTATATAAATAATAATTAAAAAAATTTTATTAAGTATTTTTATTAAATTAAAAATTGTAATTATTATTCATATAATATACTAAATTTTTATTTAAAATTTATATTTAAAAAATTAAAAAAAATATACTAAAACCATTAAAAATGAATTGAGAGGGTAATATTATTTGAGATTAAAATTTGATTAAGTAATTGTTTGTCATAAAGACCACAACCACTTGCTTACTGTTCGAGTGAACTTTTTTTTTTTTTTAAATCAAACCAAAGGTCACAACTATTGGGTGGAACTTAACCGTCTAATTTAGTTGTTAAGAAATAGTTGGTAGTTTTTCACCCTTATTCGTCTGATTAAAAACAAAACAGCTATTAGTTTTTTTTTTTTTTTCATATTACATTGTACAACTTCATTTTTAACTTGTCTCACTCGTATGTCATACAAGTTGAATTTATAATTTCTTATTTCTATTAAAAAGAGATGACTATGATTCATCATTTTTTTATTAAAAAGAGATTACTACTAATTTATTTAGATTATTGACAAAACAATTATTACCTATATAAGTAAAGATTCATTTACATACAAATTTTACACACCACATTTACACAAAATCTTAATTAGTCATCTTTTTACTTTCTATAATTAAGATTTATTCACTTTTGATTATATTTATTAAAAATAATTATATTTTTTATTTAAAAAATTATAATAAATCTCAACTATTGAAAGTAAAAAAATAAAAAATTAAAATTTTATGTTAATATTATATATAAAACTTGTATGTAAAGTGAACCCTCCTTTACTTATATATAATCCTAAGAGTTAAACTAAATATATGATAGCAGGGCATATTAATTCAATCATTAAGTGGACTTAGTTCATTAAAAAAAAAAAAGAGTAAGTGGGCTTCAATGCTTTATCCGACTTAAGCAGGCCGACATTTTAACTTTTAATGGTATGTTCTTTTGGGGTTGGGTCATAAGAATCTCTGGGCCTACTTAATGTGCTCATGACCTACATTGCCTGAATACTGGATTGTGTTTAGGTTCTACAACCCTCCAGAAGGCCTATTTATTCTGGGTTATCCCAGAGACTTCTACAGATAATTAATCTTGACTTCCAACAGGAACAATGTACAACCGATCCAGTCAAATCTCTACAACATTCTTTCTGCAATCCAACTCCAGAAATTTCGAGAATCCACCCTCATTCACATCCACAATGCAATATATATACATAACCCTGACACAACATTCTTTCAGAATTCAGACAAAAACCAAGAATCATAATCCATATCTGACAGTATTAAGTTGCAGAGCTCAAACATGTCTCTCTTACAATCCCTCCTCGGCCAAAACAGCCTTCTTGATTCTTTCTGGGGTAATTCCTTCTTGGACACCCCAGATGCTCAAATGGACTGGAAGGAAACCCCACATGCTCATATCTTCCACATCGATCTTCCAGGCCTTAGAAAGGAGGATGTGAAGCTAGAAGTTCATGAGGGCAGTGTGCTACACATAACAGCAGAGAGAAAAGAGGAGGCGGAGGCGGATGAGAAAGGGGTGAAGTGGCATTGCAGGGAGAGGAGAGTCGGGGCCTTCTCGAGGGAGTTCCGGTTGCCAGAAAATGTGAAGGTTGATGAGATTAAGGCTTCAATGCATGATGGGGTGCTAACTGTGACCGTGCCTAAAGATGAACACAAAAAGAAGACTAAACAACACAAGGCTGTTGAGATTGCAGGGGATGCAGAACAAAGCCATGCTTCTAAAGGACTTGGCCGTTTTGTGTGCTGCAAAGCTTGAACTACCAGTAAACTACTACTTGATTATTCCACTTTGATGCATTGAATTTAAGGCCTTTTGGTTCTGTGACTTTTTATTTTTTGTATGTGTGTGTGTGAGAATTTTGTGAGGGGTAATTTGTTTAAATTGTGCATGGTGTGTAAGGATAATGCATGTAAGCTTGCTGGTGTGGCTGTGAATATGGTTGCTTTATAAAAATGCAAGTAAAAGATTTCCATTTTCAATATCAGATGCTTTGGATTCTGAACAAGATGTCCTCACTGCACTCATTGGAAGGATATATTATCTGTAGAAACCATTAGTAATGTTCTTTGCTCGATGGCTTAAAAACAAACAAGCCGTCTTAGCTCAGCCGGTAGAGCGCATGGCTTTTAACCATGTGGTCGTGGGTTCGATTCCCACAGACGGCGATTTTTTGACATTTCCAGGAAATTAGTTTACGACGAACTTAAGTAAGAATTGGTCCCCTGATTTTGCCATTTAAACACATTCTGGTATCTCAACTTTTTTTAACTATTTTTTAGTTTTCGAACTTTATTTACAATTTCAGTTTTAAATGTGTTAGGGTTTAAATTATTTTAAATTTCAATATTTAAAATGTTAGGGTCTAAAGGGTTTTAGATTTTTTAGAGTTTACTAGTATTTAGGATATTAAAAGCATGTTTGGTAAAGTTTGTAAGGAATTCATTCATATGTTTAAATTTTTCTCTTAAAATTTTATATTTTTTAATTTTTTTAACCTTAAAAAGATTTTAAATATAAATTTTGAAAAGTTTTAAATTTGTGCTTTTTACAACTTCATTTTTATTCACTTCTAACTCACTTTTTTATATTTCTAAAAGCAACTTAAATTTTTTTTTTCAATAAAAGTTTAAATTTATTACTCATAACAAAAAAAAAGTAAAAATTTTTACAAGTTTCACCAAACATACTTTAAGGTTTAGATTTTTTAGAGGTTTAGGGTTTATGGTACATATTATACTCCCTTCATCCCATTGAGGTTTTTTTATTTAAAATTTATCTTAAAATAAAAATTATTTTTTATATTTTAAAAGAGGCAAATATTTTTTTATTTTAATTTTATGATTATTTTATAATTTTAATTATATATTCTATCATAAAATTTTTTTATTTTTATTTCTTTTTTAAATATAAAATAGGCAAAATAAAAGTTATTCTAAAATCCTTAATTCACAAATAAAATAAAAAATGTCTACTATTTTAGAACAAATAGAGTATAATTTAGATTTTTTGAGGCTTAAAATTTAGGTGTTGGGATTAGATTTTTATTAAATTATGATTTATATTATTACGTTTTATGGTTTAATATTTAAAGTTTAAGGTTTAATAACTTAAAAATTAAAATTGTAGGACTTAAAAATTAAAATTGAATGCTATTATATCCAAAAGCAAAAATAAAACAACAATAGAGACCAATCAAACGATTAGTAAGGTACAAAATTATATGCGATTATATCAAATTAAATGTTATTATGGCATTAAACATCAAATTTCAAAAAATTTAAACCTTAAAAAATTTAAATTCTAACACCTTAAACCTTAAATCTTAAAAATATAATCTAATCCCTAACATTATAATTACTAAACCCTAATGCCTTAAATTAAAATAATCTTATTTAATTTTGAAATTTTAAATGATACTTTTTAAATATTAAAATTTAAAAGTTATAATCTTATAAACTTGAAGCTTTTGAATTAATTATGCCCTTTCTTAAAACTAGGAAGTTAAATTGCCACGTCCGCTTGGGCTTCTGTCGGCATGAATGGATTCGGCCGCAATAGCTTTATTCTTGAAGTATTGGTTCACTATTTCATTTTTTTAAGCGCCGTATTTTCATTTCACATTGGGACTAATTACGTTTACTAATAAAAAAAGTGAAGTGTCGTGTAGTTAATTTTTTGTAGATTATATTTTATTTAATTATTAATAGAGGTGATAAGTACTCTAATATTAAGGTTTTAATTTTTTTTAATAATTAAAAATAATATAATTCATGCAAGATAAACTACATTACAATATTCTTTTTATTAATTTAAATCCAAACTGTTTTGTTATTCTATAATTTTAACTTTTAATTTCTTTTTTATTTAAAGACACACCCATCCCAATTTTACAATGCAAAGCTTTATTGAAAGGAACGCAGCATATGCCAACATGGCAGCCTGAACTCCATTAAACTGTTCACATTTAGTGCGGTTAGAAAGAAGGCAAAACATGCAGAATAGCCCCTCAACTCATCGTATAGTGGCAGATCAACCCCTCAAGTCAATTCACACACAAAAGAACCCCTCAACCCGTGTTCGATGGTAAATCACCCCTTTGTGTAGCCTGATGTCATCAATCCATTAAAACTTAATGTCCCTTTCATAAGCTCTTGCTTTGCCTCTAACCTAGATTTTTTTATTGAGATGGATGCTTTGTTGGATGCATTATTTTCTCTCAAAAACCTCCCCATACCATACAACATAAACCCACACAATAAGAAAAACCTAGATTGAGAAAGAGACATTGTTCTACTCTTCTAGAACTCTCAACCTTGTTCTAGAAGGGAAACAACTTTAATAAATTCCCAATAATTTCCCAAAACTTTTCTCTATAATCTTCTCGCAACATGTCCATACATTGATTCAATACATATCTTCGCACCACGACCATTGTCATCTTCATCATCAACATCATCATT